CCCCGCGCTACCACGTGAGCTGGAACAAGGGCTGTACCCGGGAAAGGATTGGGCCCAGACTAGGAAGGAGTCTAGTCTGTGAAAGAAGCTATTGGAACATCTCTGAGGGGGAGATTTTATCTGTAATTAGACTTAGACTTGCGCGTTTTGTTTTATTTTGCTGGGTGACTTACTTTGTTCTGTCTGTTATTACTTGAAACCACTTAGATCCTACTTTTTATACTCAATAAACAAAAGTGATTTTATGAATTGACCCAGAGTATGTATTAATACCTGGGGGAGCAAACAGCTGTGCATATCTCTCTAGCAGTGTGATAGAGGGCGGACAATTTAGGAGTTTACCCTGTATACATTTTATACAGTGTAAACAGGTTTATTTGGGGTTTGGACCCCATTGGGAGCTGGGTGTCTGGGTGCTGGAGATAGGTAACCCGCTAAGCTGTTTTCGGTTAAGTCTGCAGCTTTGGAAACGTGGTTCAGACCCTGGGTCTGTGTTGTAGCAGGCTGGCGTGTCTGGCTCAACCAGGCAGGGTTCTGAAGTCCCAAGCTGGCAGGGAAAACGGGCTCAGAGGTAGTCGCAGCACATCAGGTGACAGTCCCAAGGGGGTCTCTCTGACCGAACCTGTCACAGTGGCGTAGTCGAGCGGGATCTGTGCATAGCTGATTGCTTTGAAACACTGGTAGTGATTTTAAGTGAGTTTTAAGTGGGGTGGCCGGAGAACAGACAAAGCCATTATTGGTTTGTTATTTTCTGTTTGCTTATTTTGGGTAAGGGAAATAGAGGCAGGAAAGTCCACAAAATAGGTGAGCGTGAAGCTCAGAAGAAGCTAGAACAGCACAGGGTGCAAACTGCTAAGAAGGAAAGAGGGAGCCAGCAAGCCCTGGAGTTAAAAGACAAAGAAATCGAGGCCCAGATACAAGCACAAATCGAGACCCAGAAGCGTGAACTGGCTGTAATGGAGCGGAAGCGGCGCACAGAGACAGGTATCCTGGAGGTGGACTTTGGGGTCCTGGTGACGGCTGCGGTGGGAACAGCCCCCACGGACTCTGTAGCTGGAAGCAAACCCAACCAGAGTGAAAGGGCGGAGGC